GGGGACGTCTAGAATGAACAAGGCACAGCCTTGGCTACACAGTTGCTCCTTTTCCAATCCATTCCCAACCTTCTTCCTCCTATTCCAGCCCCACTATTCTCCTGGTTCTCAGCCCCAGGCCCTTTCTTCCTTTACCATCTACCACCAACCTGCAGCAGGGGTCTCCAGCCCACAGTAGACCTGGTTTCCCTCCATCCCTGACCTCCCAGGACTACATCATTCCTTCCTGGTGATACTCATATTTTAATAGACACTGGGGCCTGGGCGTTCAGGAAATGTGCAGTTGTTCACTTTGCTATGGCATGTGCTCTTGGTCGTGTACCCAGAGCAGGAGCAAGGATGCTGATAACATCCTTGTCTGCTCCTTGCTCTTGAAGGAGCTGATACAGCTGTGGGTAGCAGGGAATGGGATGAGTTACTTCTTCTTCCAGGGGCCAGACCCTGTACACAGAAGTCTGCCTGGCATGCCCTTACCCTAACAAGTGTGGTGGTTTGAATGGGAATGGCCCCCATAAGCCATTTGAATGCTTGAATGTTTTCTCCCCAGTTAATGAACAGTTTGGGAAGGTGTAGCCTTGTTGGAGGAGATATGACACTGGAGGTGGGCTTTGAGGTTTCAAAAGGCCACAACAGGATCTGTCTGTCATCTATCTATCTATCTATCTATCTATCTATCTATCTATCTCTGTCTTCCTGCTTCTCACCATGATGATCATGAACTAACACTATAAAACTGTAAGCAAACTCACAGCTAAATGCTTTCTTTTGTAAGAGCTAACTTGGTCATAGTGTCTCCCCCTCATAGCAAAGGAACAGTGAGACACCTAGGGACCACCAAATTTTGTCTTCCTCAGTTTACTATGTAAGGGAGACTGCACCTTTCAGGAATCTCTGAAACAGAGTGACCCAGGACACTGATTCAGACCCTAGCCTGATAATGCCACTCTCTTTAACATCAAAAGTCCTAGGGCTGTGTCCACAGCTGGTATCCTTCAGAAAGAAAGGTTCCAAATGTAGCCAAGACTCAGAGTAAAAAACTACATTTCCCAGTCTCCCTTGCTGCATGGTATGTTTATGTGACCCATTTCTAGCTGATGAGAAGTGGGTGGAGTGCAAGGACCCATGGACAACAGGGATGAGCGTGTCTCCCCTTCATGTTTCCTTCTCACTGTAGGGTCCATGGGCACTGCAGCCACCTGAGCTACATAATCAAAGGCAAAACCTGGGGGATGGAGAAAAGCAAGAGAGAAGGATTCTGATACCACAACATAACCAGACCAGGAGGGAAAATTAAGACCCCGTCGTGCTGTGGTCGCTGTATTCAGTCTCTGTTAGAACAGCCTGACTTATTTCCTGGCTGGTACAGACTGTCTCAGAAAGTCCGTGAGGGACTGGATGATGCTCTAACCCACCAAGAAAGTCCAAGGTGAGCTTTGAAGAGAAAGGCAAAGGGATACAGAGGAAAATCGCATGGAGGGATGTGGGCAATGTGGCTGAGTGAGTCTCAGAGCCCTGGGGGCAGCAGGTCCTGCCTTCATCCATTTTTCTTAGGATCAAGGGGCTTGGAAGGCAGGTCAGACAGGTCAGGAAAGCCAGCTGTCTCTGTGCTGCTTATACAGAGGTAGGGAAGATCTTGTTCACAACGCCTGAGCTGTCAGAGAGTGTCAGCCACCTCCTCCTGAGGGCAGGTAAGTCATCCTCAGCTCAGGGATGGGACACGAGATGAGGTTCCGTTTGTGGCTGCATCAAGAGCTAGGAGCTTCCAGTTAAAGAAAACCTGGATCATGGAAGGTCCCACATCGTCTTAGGAAGGGGTCATCTGCAGGAGAGCATACAGTAGGGGAGGGAACACGGCCTTTCACTCCTGCCTAGGTGACAGGATCCAGACAAGCTCAGACTTGATGAAGCAAGACTTCAAAATGGAAGGGCGAGGGATCAGAAAAGCTACCCATGTCACCAAGTCATGCACTCATAACTACACTGAGCCTTGTAGAATTGCTCTCCCTATCCCCAAGGACATCTGGGCTCCTGTACTCCTTTCTAGCTGCCCCTGATCCCGGCATTGTCCTTTAAGTGGAAACATTGTCTAGATACCAGATAGCCATTGTTACACCTCCATGCTCACACATGTTGAATGGATACCTGGATAGTGTCTTTCTGAGTGGCCATCTCTGCTGAGTTCTCGCTCACATTCAGCTTGCTAGAACTCTTCTTTCTGCATGGGCAAGAGCAGACTCTGTGAGAGACCCCTTTCTACTGCTCCCCACCCTCCCCAGCTGTACAGAGCAGGAGAACCCTGCACAGTGTGGGGCATCTTGTTTGTTCCCCACCTTGGCCCTTTCTTCAGTATGAGTAGATGCCAGCAGAGGAAAGCTACAGCAAGACAAACTGTGTGATTCAGAAGGGGAATCCCCAAATTTGGAGAGGACAGAGTAGGAAATTTGAAGCCTATGGACTCTATAGGGAAGAAATTTCCTCAAAGGTTTTGGGGGACAAAGGAGGGAACAGGATGAGCAGAATAATGCATTCCTGTCCCCCACACTGCTCTGGACTCACCTCCAGATGTGACAGGCCCCCAGGCCCAGCAGCAGGCACAGGAAGCCTGCCAGAAATCCCAGGACCCAGAGTAGCCTCTGGAACAACTGCAGCTGTTGCAGGGCTGAAACGGGAAGGAGAAGCTGAAGGAGCTCTCTGGGCTTCAGGCCCCCACATTCCCTCCCAAGGTGACCCAACCAAGATAAAATTGATTTTAACTTTCTCTTCATCCCCAAAGCCCTGTGCATGTGATCCATTTGGACTGCTCAGACAAGTTGTCTGGTGGCAGAAGGAATCTGGGACTGCAGCCTTAGGATGCAAGAATCTTCCTGCAGAGAGGTTCCAGCCAGTAGAGGTATTAGTCCCCTCACCTCTGGTCCCAAAGTAGGCAGAGGCTGAGGCAGAGCCCAGAGCATTGGAGGCAGTGCACACATACTCCCCTTGATTGCTAGGTCCGAGCTCCTCTATGTCCAGTCTCAAGGCATTGGGAGGAGCCGTGACTCGGATGTGGGGCTGGGTGGGAGCACCATGAAGTTGGTTGGAGGCTATTAGTTGACTGCCCCGGTGGAGGGTGAGGCTGGCCAGGGGCTCACTGTCCACTCGACAGTCGAGGATGCCTTGGTGGCCACCCTGGGGCTCCACAAACACTGTGAGAGTGGGCGTCTTGGGAGGATCTGTGAGGAGGAAGAGTATGCTGACTGTAGAAATCCACTACAAATCCCTCCCTCTGACGTGGCTCTGCGGGGAGCCCATTCCCTCACTCTTGAGGCCTAGGTGACATTAAGGAGAACGGTGAGAGTGACGACGCCTTAGTCAGTAAAGCGGATGCCGAGTAAACATGAGGGTGATCTGCGTTGGACGCCACCACTCATGTGAAAAGCACCAGCGAGGCAGAGACAGGAGGATCCCTGAACTCCGTGGACAGCAGATCCTCCTGAATTGGTTCAGTGAGAGATCGAGTGCACAGTGATAAAGACGGTGACCTCTGGGCTCTGCACATGCGCAAAGACATACAAGCATAGACAGCGCACACACAAATGCAGCGTACGCAGACACATTTTCTTTTTAAGTAGCATGGTGGGCTCTGCACATGCGCAAAGACATACAAGCATAGACAGCGCACACACAAATGCAGCGTACGCAGACACATTTTCTTTTTAAGTAGCATGGTGGGACTTTGGAACTGGATCTCAAGATTTCTTGTAGCTTCTCTTCTGCTTCCTGGAACAAATATGTGGAAAACCCAGGCCAGCCTGCTGACCATGTATGGTCTGTCTGAAGCCGCCTGGTGAGGCTATCTTAGACAGTTCAATCTCAGCAGAGCCACTGGACAGCCACAGTCAAGAGACCAGAGGAACTGACCAGCTGAGCCCTGTCCAAATTTCTAACCCACAGAATTGTGAATTTGTGATAAGTTGTTACCAAGCAGTAACTGACTGATACAGCTTGGACACAGAAGAATAGAGTGGGGAAACCAGGGCTAAGTGACGGCTGCTGCTCAGCAGCAACTCAGTCTGCTTTATCTTCTGTATTCATCCCAAGAAGGTAAGAGGAATGTATCTTTCGCTTCAAAGATGAGGGACAGAAGCATAGACACACAGCTACATACAACCAGCCAGCAGGAAGGCTAGTGTTCTGAGACCCTGACCTAAGAAGCCCTTACTTTGTGAAGAGAAGACCTGATACAGACCAGTGAGATGTAGAGACAGACGCAGGGCAGAGGTGTGTTCATACTCACAGAGAACACGGAGCATGACTGGAGATGAGGTAGTGACCCCGGTGGGGAGCTCAGCCCTGCAGTGGTACATCCCAGCCTGAGCCCGGACCACAGGGGTGAAGGAGAGCGTGGGCACAGGCGCTGAATGCAATAGATGCCGATTCCAGAACCATGTGAAAGAAGAGTTGCCTGTGGGTTCGGAGCCACTAGGGAGGTGGCAGCTTAGGTTCAGAGCTGTGCCCTCCGGCACATCCAAGCCTGGCTCAGCTACCACGTGCACATCTGTAGAACAAGGATGGGTAAATGATCAGGGATCTATGCATTGCGGGCCGATCTTGGTCTATCTTGGGCTCAAGGCCCTCCATGCTGGAAATATATCTCTCCTTAGATTGGTCATAAAACAGCATGATCACATATGTGTACTGAGGTTCCTACCACAGGGCACTGCCTCCAGAATCAGAGAAGGCCGTTTGAAGCACAAGACTGTATCATGCCCTCAGACTGGGCTTCCCATGGCTAAGGACCTTGTCTTGCTATCACCCCAGGCTTCTCCAGTGAAGGGTGTGTGAGGTGAGGACATGTCTCCTCTCACTCTTTCCATAAGGCATTAATAGCCTTCCCTACTCCAATGGTAGGGCTGGATCATCTCCTGAGGTTGGTCTACCCCTTCCCTGAGAGCCATGTCTTCTTAAGTGGATTAGGGTTCTCAGGGAAGTAGTTCATACTCCTTCAGGTCAGCAGCCCCTCACATGAGATCCAGCCCCACAGCACAAGAATCCCAAACCCTGGCCCCTTCCTCACCCAGGTCCCACTCACCAGTCTCCGTCAGAAGCTTCTGGGTGGTACTGATGGAGCCTAGTGTATTCCGGGCTGTGCAAACGTAGGTGTTGCCGTCACCCACAGTCACATCTTGCACCTGTAGTCGAAGAGCATTTCGGGATACCTGGATGTGGCCTATCACTGATGCTGAGCTGTGAAGCTCGTGGCTGGCAGCTAGCACCTTGCCATTGCGGGATAGGACCAGCTGAGCAGGTGGTTCACTGTCCACGGTGCACTGAATCACAACTGTGAGCCTGGTCCTTGAGTCTCGAAAGGAAGACAGGACAGTATCCCGAGGGGCATCTGGAGGTAGGGCAGGACACAGATGGGGGCCCTTCTGAGGCACGCACAGCTTGCTGCCCATCTGTCCAGTGTTGGTGACGCTCAGTTTTCAGACAAGTTTCCCCTTCTAAAAATCATGCCTGATCTGGAGTCTGTGGGCAGAGTCCCTCAAGCAGGGTTCCTGGGGCCATGTTCCCACTGTCATTGCTAATCGCTCTTTTCCCCAAGTGGTCATTTCTATATGCCCTAGAGTGCCATGTCCACCCTAACCAATTCCTGGAAGCACCCTCTGCCACCCTCATCCTGGAAAGCCACAGCAAGGAGCCACTGCTCACAGAGAATTTTCAGGCTGGCAGGTCTGGAGCTCCGTGTGCCCTGAGTATCATGCACCTGGCATAAGTAAGCGCCAGCATGAGCCCGTGTGGTCACCAGGAACTGGAGTGAAGAAGCCGGTCCCTCCTGAAGCCAATGGCCATTGTGAAACCAGGCATAGAGGGCGGGTGAGAGGGCAGCAGGGTCCTCGCAGGTCACTGTGACAGGCTTCCCCTCGGGTACAGCACCAGAGGGATTCATTTTCACTCGTACACCTGAACCAAGGGGTCCAGAGTCAGCTGGGCCCAGCTGGACATTACAGGCAGTTCCTTCCCCTGCAGCCTTGGTAAGTCGCTGCCTTACCTTCCAGCCGAAGCTCCAGAGATGTGTTGGCCTTACCCAATGGGTTGTGAGCAGAGCAGCTGTAGAGCCCCTCATTATTAGGCCTTGGGTCCCGAAGCTCTAGGCGCAGGGTGTTGGGGACAGAAGCTTCAGTTGAGGAGACTAGGAGCTGGCCACTGTGGCTGAGAGTTAGCTGGGCAGGTGGACGACTATCCACAGTACATAGTACCAGGGCCAGCTGCCTGCTCTGGGTCTCTAGGAGGTAGGTCAGCCTCAGGCTTCGGGGAGCATCTGCAGAGGTCAGAGGCGGCCAGTTTGCAAGTGGCAGGCAAGTTCCCTAATGACCAGCCCATGGGCAACTCTTCCTTCATAAGGTTCTGGAATTGCCACCCACTGGTATGCCCCTCTGCCTAAAATGGACCTGACCCCATTTCCTTCACCTCTTAAGGTCCCTTATCCAGTGCTCCACAACTGGCTGGTCATTCTTCGACTGCATACTAGAGGGCCCTCTCATGCCCTCGTCCCTGTGAGTTTCTGTTGCTCTTGCCAGCACTGCCCACACCCAGCCAGACTCACAGAGGACATCCAGGGTCACAGGTCTGGAGAGATGGGGTGAGTGGCCAGGAAGCCCCACACCACAGCGGTAGGAGGCAGCATCCAAAACTGTAACACTGGGCAGGGAGACGGATCTGGCACCAAGCAGTTGTTGCCCACCCTTGTACCATGTGTAGCTGAGTGAGTCCTGGTGGGTGCTCCATACCAAGCAGGTCAGGTTCACCTGCTGCCCCTCTTGCACTGTAGCATTGGGCCACACAGCCACACGCACAGCTGGGGAAAAGAGGGAGTCACGTGTGAGGGTCTTGGAGCTGTGCAACAAAGCCTTTCATGCAACCCAAGTCCAGAATCCACACCCCTAATTAGCATGGGGTTGGGGCTTGATCTTAAGCTCCTAGGCTTCTAGAACCTTCTGCAACTCTTCTCTTCCACACTGACCCTGGGCATCGAAGTCAGCTGTAGCCGAGGCCTGGCCCAGTGTGTTGGTGGCTTCACATGTATAGATCCCAGCATCCTCCAGCTCTGTAAAGTGGATCTCCAGACGCAACTCATTGGCGCTCACAGACACATGCATCCGGGGATTGCCGCTTGCCAATTCCTCAGGGCCTTGCAGGGTAGAGGCCACGAGGCGATTCTGGTGAAACAGTCGCAGCTGCGCGGGAGGGTCACTTTGTACACTGCACACCAGGTGGCCGAATCGCCCAGGGCCGGTGCTCAGCAGGGCACTGAGTGTTACTTGCCGTGGGGTATCTACATCAGATGAGGAGTGGTCAGGGTGTAACTGAGGCAGCCCTCATACAAGGCTCTGCTGTGGAACACCTCCCTTCCCCGACCTGAGTGAGAAACACCCTTACAGGACACATGGAGGGTGACAGGGGCAGCCAGGCTGGCAGTCACTGTGTCTGGACCCTGAGCTTGGCAATGGTAGGCACCAGCTTGCCTCAGACTTATGGATGCAATGCGCAGTGTAGACGAGGTTGACTCTGGGAGGGGGCGGCCATCCTGAAACCAGCGGTATGAGGTCCCCTTGGGGACCCCTGTGGGCACCTGGCAGCTCAGGACCACAGCCTGGCCCTCCCGGAGCTCAGGTGATGGCGAAACCTGGACCCAAGCTCCTGCAAGGAGAAACAGGGTAAGTGGGAGCTTACCAACGTCCCTCCCATTGTCTGGTACTATTCCTGTCTCGAGAAGAATGAAGAGTCCCAGTCCTGTGACTATAGCTGGCAAGGGCTCCCTCAGTTCCATGTCTTTGTCTTTCCTGCTCCTTTTGACCTGAATCTGCTCTGTACTGGCCCGTGCTCCTTACCGCCTGCCATGGGTTTCTGGTCTTGGTTGGTTGGTCTGTTGATTTGGTTTTTTGAGACAGTCTTACTCTGTAGCACCTGGCTGGCTTAGAACTCACTAGGTAGCCCAGGGTGGCCTTGAATTTATGAAGGTCTCTTGCTTCAGCCTCCTAAGCACTGGGATTCACGGTTTACAACACTGGTTTCATCCTGTCGATCTCTGTCACCTGTGGCAGGTGAGTCTCAACAGAGCGGAGCCCCTGTGCTCTACAGCCAGGACCAGGCACAGCACCTACATCGTTAGCCCTAAGAAACAATGGTTTGACCACAAATGCACTGTCACAGGAGGGCTACCTCCTGCTGAGGGCCACTGATCTGACTATAAACTGGACTCTGCATGAGTAGCCTAGGACTTGAGGGGAAAGTTAACCACAGCTGTTTTTTTCCAGCCCTTCACCCAGGATGGAGACCATGACAGCCTAGAGCATGGGGAGTGGGCATTGAGGGTCAGGGGTCAGGCAGTGAGGAGGAGAAGCAGCTAGAGCAGGGGGACGGGAGCTGGGGCCCGAGCTAAACTCACTCTCTGCCTAAGAAACGATGAATAAATTAGAAAAGACTGGCAGAACCCAAGAAAATGTCCCCAAATTGTTACTGCTTGACATTATGAGAGAAGTATGTGTGTCTCTTTGGCCTTTGCCTTATGGATATTGTTTTTCCTTTTCATGGTGTATTTTCCTAGATTGTTTTGTTTTGACATATGTACCCCAGGCTGACTTTGAACTTGCTATCTCCCTGCCCCTCTCCTTCCTGAAATGCTTGGCTTACGATGTGTGCCACCACGAATCCTTGTTCTAGGAGACTTTCTATAGAGAAGTGTGTGTGTGTGTGTGTGTGTGTGTGTGTGTGTGTGTGTGGTGTGTGTGTAACATGTATGTACTGGATTTTGTATGATAATGTTTGAATGAAGCAAAATTATATTACAAAATTGTGTTAGAAAACTCTCCAGCCAGCTGGACATGGTAGCTCACATCTGTAATCTTACTTAGCCCTAAGGTAGCTGAGGCAGGACTCAGAGATTGGCATGGGTGCAGAGTAATTTCAGGGATACCCTGTCTCAAAAGAACAGGAAAGGAGGGAGGAGGGTAGGTGCCGGCTGAAACAGGCCACCTGCTCAGCTGCTTCTGCTTCCTATGGCCGCTGACGTTAGTGGAAGCAAAGGGAGACCATATGAAGGCTACAACGTACATCCCAATCCAAGCATCTGCATGGAACTCACAGTACACGGTGTCTGAGCAGAGCGGTTCTAGATCTCAGGGTCCACCCTAGTGTCAGAGGGCTGACACTTACCTCTGACCTGGAAGAAGAGTGAACTGTTGGCTGATCCAAGAACATTTGTGGCTCTGCAGTGGTAGTTCCCTGAGTCCTCAAGACCTAGTTCTCGAACATCCACCTGCAGGGAGTTGGCTGTGGCCTTGGCCTGGATCCTGCCAAGGGATGGACGCTGGGGTTCCAGGTTGGTGGCCAGGAGGTGGTCCCCACGGAATAGAGACAGGTGAGCCAGGGGATAGCTGTCCACAGTACAGATGAACACAGCCATGTGGCCCTGGCCCACATCCAGGAGGGCCGACAACTTTGGAGGGTCTGGGGGATCTGCATAAATCAGAGTGGGGTAGTTACTCAAGCTTCTCTAGCCAATCTCACTACATTCTTGCTGTCATACTGTGTCCCCCTCCTCTTGCACACACTCCATAGGCCCAGCTGGTCACGCCAGACTGGCACAACCCCAACCCTGTGGCCCCCAGGACCCTCCGCCCTCCAGGCCCCTCCATTCTCCCAGCCTACTAACACACACACACACACACACACACACACACACCCTGGCCCCTCTGCCCTCTAAGCTGTGATACCCTTAGCCACTTACACAGCACACTTAGGACTACAGGAGCCGAGAGCTGAGCCCCATCCTCAGTGAGGAGGCGGCAGGCATAGACAGCAGCATCAGTTCTGGCCACAGGCTGCAGCCTCAGAGTCTCCAGTGGTCCCTGGGTCCACAGCACTCCATTCCGGAACCAAGAGAAGTTGGCAGGGCTGACAGCAACCTCCTGGCTCACACTGCAAGTTAGGTTGGCCTCTGTGCCTTCGTGCAGTGTATCTGATGGTGTGATGGCCAGGACAGTGGCTGGAGGGTAGACAGCAGGGGTTTGTTGAAGACGGGTCTCACTCTGGTTAGCCTCACTCCGTCCACCCTGGCCCAGGCTCCAGTTTCCAATTTTGAGCAGGGAAGAATGGAGAGGAAAGCCAATATGGGGGCGTAGAGGGACATGGAAAAGCACCAGATGGCAAGGTAGCCCCATTACTGTCTCAGAGGTGAGCCTTGGAAATCCCATGATGGTCCCTCCCTTGGTGTGGAGGGAGGAACACTGAGGTTCCCTCTGCTTCCTCCTGTGTGACCAGAGATCATTTTGCCTGGTCAATTTGCTCAAAGCAGGGGTAGCCTGAGCTCATGTTCCAGTTCCCTCAGTCCCTCGATACTCCTTACCCTTAGCATTGAAAGAGGCTGAGGCAGAAGAGTTGCCCAGCGTGTTGCTAGCCTCACACAGGTACACGCCCTCATCCTCTAATACCGGCTTCTGGATCTCCACGCTCAGTAAGTTGGAGCCTCTGCTGACTTTCGTGCGCTGGGAGCAGCTCCCACACCTTGATGGCAGAGAGGTGGCCACAACATGGCCTTTGTGGAGAAGCCGTAGCTGGGCTGGGGGATCACTGTCTACACGGCACAAGAGGATGCCACGCCGTCCATCCCCAACTCCAGAGGTATCCAAATCCAGCCTGGCAGTGAATGTGGGCTTTCTTGGGGGATCTATGGGGAGCAAGAGCGTTAGGAACTCATCTTGTGGCTACTGATAGAGTTCAGGTCCACTTCAGCCTGGCTGGGCGCCAAGAAGCACATCGAACAGCCACAAACATCGCTGTAGGACAGGCACAGCACAGGGTACCCATTCATCTATGCTCCTCAGCCTAAACTGAGCCCTACTGCTGAATGGAGTCTTCCCAGACTGGGAACCATCTCCCAGCTGGGACCAAGATGGTGTATGGGCTGTCAGTCACCTTGCCTGTCCCATCTACCTCGAAAGCAGGACACCCTCAGAGAAGTCCCCAAGACTGATGCTGACTAACGCAGTACCTCAAAGTTCACTCTACCCAGCTCAGATCCTAACATGCTGAGTAACACTTAAGATGACCACTCTAGATTCGTTGTCATTTTTACAATTTTGGTGGTTATTACTGTCGACGTGAAGGATCTAGAGTCATCTAAGAGATGACCCTTTGGGCATGTCTGTGGAGTTTCTAGATTGGATTGATTGAGATGGGATGACCCACCCTGAAGGTGGGTGGCAACATTCCATGGGCCAGGGTCTCAAATTGAATAAAAAGGAGAAAGTGGCCAGGTAAGGTGGCTCACACCATGGTGACAAGGCCTATGACTGCTCTCTGATGTGGACCCAGGGTCAGGAGGATATGGAAGGGGGCAGTTGGTGGTCCCCATGGGATGATCCCACACAGTAGGCAGTGGCCAGTAGCCAAGGCCAACTCACAGAATACAGTGAGGACAGTAGGCAGAGAGGGGCCACTGGTGTTGGGGCCAGCTTGCGTTCTACAGTAGTATGAGCCAGCATCGGTGCTGGAAGCCGCAGGAAGCAGGAGGCTGCTGCTGGATCCCTCCTGACGCAGAACTCCATTCAGGTACCAGGAGAATCGAGTGTCAGGTGCTGGGCTCAGGCCACTCCTGCAGCTCAGAGTCACTGCCTGCCCTTCCACAACCTCTGCTGAAGGGCTGATGAGGAGTCGGGCCACTGGAGGAGGGACAGAAAACAGACTTATGTTGTGGTTAGGCTGTGAGGGCCCCGGCCCTCTGTGCCCTCTGCTACAGGAAGCCTTCTAGATTTCTCCTCTCTTCACAAGCCTGTTAGAGTTTTGTGGTAGATAAAGAGGATTTAGCCCAGGTTACATCACGCCAGGCTTATGTCAAGAACCTGGCTTGAGACCTGGGGATGTAGCTCAGATGATAGAGTGAGTGAAGGGCAGGGTTTAGTCCCCAGCATTGCCAAAACCAGACACGGTGGAAACAAAACAAAAACCTGGCTGTGTGCACCAACAATGGGAGGATCCTGTCTCTCTATTTTGTCTTCTACATCTAGTGCCTACCAAAGACCTTGCCCCCAAAACTTAAGAAGTAAAAGATAACAGATGCCTGTAAAGGACCCTCCAATAATTTGATCCACTACACTTCCCTTTTGCCTTCTCATCCAGAAATCTCTGAGGTTGGAGTGACTATGTAACCTAGATCTTCCAAGGGAGTCTGCCAGAGTTTCGTCCCTCAGTTGAGTCCTTAGGATTGCTAGGAAAAAGAGGCTTTCTCCTTGACCTGCCCCCCACTGGTGTCCCCTGCAGCCCATGCCCATGTTACCATTAGCATGGAAGTCTAGGCTGGACGTTGCGTTTCCCAGGGAGTTGGTGGCTGAGCACGTGTACTCCCCGCTGTCCGCTGGCTGCAGATCTCGGATTTCTAGGCGCAGGGAGTTGGGGGCGGAGGAAATGATGAAGCGGGGGTTGAAGTCATTTTCTCCAGAGCTGGAAGCCAACATGAGGCCTCCGTGTGACAGCACCACAGTAGCCAGGGGCTCGCTGACCACAGAGCAATGGAAGATGCCCACAAGTCCAGCCTGTGTCTCCAAGAAGGTGGTCAGGTCTGGAGTAAGGGGTGGGTCTGTGTGGGAACCAGAGATGTCTTGTCATCCTCAGAAAGGTCACTTCCTGGTTCCTCTGCTGTAACCTATGCATTCCTTTTGCCCCCACAGCAAACATGACGATCTCAGACCTCCTCTGGATGAGCAAATCTCTCTGTTAGCCAGGCTAACCCTCATGCCCACACTGAAAGTAGAGGTCAGGGTCCCAAATTAGGGTGTCACTTTGTTATTAGACTAGTTCCAAACCAATAATCCTTCTACCTCAGCCTCCTGAGTGCTGGATTACAGCTGTGTACTACCACTCTTGGCCAGCACCTTATTTCAAAGATGAGAAACATGGAACTGTCCAGGTAGAAGGCAGTACTTCTGTCAATTGAGTATGCAGATCATTAGCAGCACAGGACAAACTGACCCCTGATCCCTGCTAATGACAAGCTCCAAGTGTCCATGTGACACAGAGACACACCTGTGGCCTTCCCAATTAGGCGCATCATCTCAGGTGGTGGGGTAGCCTCCAAGAAGGATACAGAAAGGTTAAGGAACTGCCTGGAAAGTCTAAAATTAGTATTACATTTCCTGGTGTGATCCTTGTGCGAGGATTGTATACAGGGTGAAATGGGAAATGCACACTGACAAGGTGAGGCATAAAGAGACCCCACACTTGCAACTCTAGGCACACCCATATAGACGGTCATCCACTCACAATCCATATAGACGGTCATCCACTCACAATTACTCTACGTGGGGCTTTTTGCCTTTATGGTGTGAAAGCCATACACAGTCAGTATAAACTGTTCTTTGAACATTGATCTTTGCCTAGGCTAGCAAGTTACAGTAGGGCCATTTCTCGTGCTACTGGATGGTCAGCCATGTACAGTACCACATGAGCCAGCCTAGGAGAGCCACTGGCACTCTGGTGTATTGTGCTATCATCGGGCTTTGGATGCAGACATTCAGTGACTTCACAGCCTACTCGGCACTTAATTGCAAAGCAGGCATTATTTAGCTGGCTTGACCCAAACGTAGCTAAATGTGAGGCTGCTGCATTCGTGTTTAAGGCTTACTGAACTAAACTCCTGAATTCAGTACCTGGGCTGCTGTAGCAGATGCCTTTTCAACTTTGATTTCTTTGTACACGTGTGAGTGTGTGTGAGTGTGTGTGTGTGTGAGTGTGTGTGTGTGTGAGTGTGTGTGTGTGTGTGTGTGACAGAGTCCCACTATGTAGCCTTGGTGGCTCAGAACCTACAGATATCCACCAGTCTCTGACTCCTGAGTACTGGAGTTAAGAGTGTTAAGAAAATTTCACTGCGATGTAGCCGCATTATAAATCTAAATGCATCTGTAGGGAACAATCCATGTAAGTAGCACATGTACATGTGGACAGAATGAGTAATGATACATATGTGCACTGTGTGCACAGGTATGTGTATGGAATAAACACACAACGCATGTGCACATGCAGAGACAGGACCCAGTGTCAGCAACATAATGTCAACAGTTGGAACAAAATAAGTTAGAAATTATTTCTAAGTAAAACACTTGTTAACATCGAAGGAGATGGAACCTAGGAAAGTCAGTCTGTGTGTGGGTACATAGCTGGGCTTGCATTCAACTCCGTCTGGCTGCATCGTCTACATCTGAGTCGAGGGTCTTTAGGCTGTTTTGCCAGGGCCCCTAACTGTCTTGCAGGGACTCCACCCACCCTTTGGCCCAACTCTGGTAGTCTCTGCTGCCCCACATACTAGTCACTTACATCTGACCACCACACTCACTGGGCTGGAGCGCTCACTGCCCTGGGTATTCTGCACCTCACAGAAGTAGAAGCCAGTATCTGCCCTGGTGACTGTGGGTAGGTGCAAGATTGGGGCATGGGCATCTTCCAGAAGAACATGGTTCTTGTACCAGCTGTAGCGGAGCTCCTGAGGTGCCTCTTTGGGGATGCTACAGAGCAGTGTCACAGTCTCATTTTCCAAGATGGGCCCTGCTGGGTTTATCTTGACTTCAGCCGCTGGAAGAACAGCATAGGACACACCCTTCAAGTTCTAGATAACAGTCAGCTTCAATCTTTAAGTGTTATACTGAACCCCATTCCCCACCCCATAAAGCAAGAGCCTCTTGGAGTCACCTGCTTCTCCTCATACCATTCCCAGGGCCCTCCTGATATACCACCTGTGAGTAGATGCTATTGTGGGTATAAAAACTTCTAGTGCTTTCCTGACACAGGTCCCCTCAGCCTTATCAGGACTCACTAAAAACATGGAGGCTGAGCGGGGGTGACGCCAGAGAGCCCACATTATTCATTGCTTGACAGGTGTAGACCCCAGAATCATTCCAGGTTGCTGAGGACAACTGGAGCATGCGTCCCTTCGCTCCAAGGTTCACTCCATCCTTGAACCATTGCACAGAACTGACGTCGGGATAGCTGCTGTTCACTCGGCAGGTGAGTGTGACCAGATCTCCTGGAAGGATGTTCCTTCCTGAGGAGCTGAGGAGGATCTCCACACCTTTGGGGGCATCTGCAAAGCATGATGGGATGTTAGATAAGGTGCATGAGGATGGCAGGGCGTTTGGGATACTTCTTTCAAAACTCTGCTCTAAGGAAGACCGCCTAGAGGAAACCCCCAAACCCACCGTCATCTGTCCTTCCTTACCCCCATCCATTCTTCCTTCCCTCCTTTTCCCACAAGGCCCTGGAAATGTGGTGCTTAGCCTATGTGTGGCTATCAATGGCCTATTGATGGCTTTCTGTGTTGTAATTGCCCATGTTCTATGTGAGAATGACTTACATAGAGTCATGAGGACTGTACTTGTCTTAGTGGCTTGCAGTAGCTATTGGAGAGGGGCTATGCAGCCGTTTCATGGCAGGGGGCCAAAGACAGCAGACATTAGCTCTCAGAAAAGTTAACCAGTTTATAAGCAAGGGACTAACAACACTAAGAATCCCCCACTCTGTGCCCGTGTGAGCGTGTGTGGTCATGGGTATAGGGTGCATATATATGCACATGTATTTGGAGGCCAGAGGTGGTGTCCACCTTGTTTCTTCAGGCAGAGTCTTTTAGTAATCTGGAACTTGCCAAATAGGTTAGGCTGTCTGGCCAGCAAGGCCCAGAGACCCACATGTCTCAGTTCCAAGCATGAACTGTTTGGGGCTCAGCTGTCTCCAGCTGCCCTGCCTGAAGGCCTGTGTGCACCTGAAAGCCACAGGGACAAAGGACCTGCTCCTAGGGGCTAGCCAAGCTGGTTTTGATCAGGGAGCCATAGAAATGGTATTCAGTGACAAGGTTGTGGTACACTCACGCTGCACTTGCAGATAAACCTCTTGCCGACTACTGTGCTTGCCCAATGAGAACTGGCAGCGCAGGGTCTGTCTGTGGTCCTGCCAGGATAGGGCCATTTGTAGGGTTGTCTGGTGATAGACGCCAGTGGGCTCGATGCTTTGGAAGCTGGAGGTGACAGAGTGGGTGGGGTCCTGGCCTTGCCACTGCAGGCTGACCTGCTTCTCCTGTAGGCACAGGTAGGGTGTGGAACAGTTGAAGTTCACCTCCATGCCTTCACGCAGCTCCTCTGGGATAGTAATAGTGGGGGGGCTGGGATCCTCTGAAAACAAAGACAGTAATTCTCAGGGCTCCCCCTCACCTCACTGTACCTCACGCTGTCCCCCACAACCCCCCAGCCAAAGGGCAAGACCTGAGGGGCATGGCTCAAGGAAAGGAGAATGTCACAGAGTGAAAAATGTTAGGCAAAGGTCAGAGCTGAAGGCCTGGGTCAAAGGTCCAGGTCAAAGGAGAGGGCTGGAGCTAAGGTAGCAGCAGCAGCAGCCTGGAAATCCCTGACAGTGTCCAGACCCCAGCCTCCTCACTTGTCACAGTGACTGTGGTGCCTTTGACATCTGACCAGCGGTTGCCATCACTGATCTCAAAGCGGAAGTTGTAGGAGCCAGAGTCTTCAAGTTTCAGGTCTTTGAGCAACAGGTTGCACACCTTGCGGCCCATGTTCCCCATCAGTTCAGCTCGGCCCCTGAAGCGCTCATTCACCAGCGTGGGGTCCCCTGTGTGGATCACCACCTGCCGACTGCCTGAGTAGTCGTAGTACCAGATGGCTGTGATACCATTAGGCACTGGTGTGTCAGCGGGGAAGCTGAAGATGCAGGGGATGAGCAGGCAAGATCCCGTCAGGCCCTGTACATCCTTGGGACTGGAGACGGCCCATGTGGTCTGGCCTGGAGGAGGGTAGGAGAGCAACAGGGAAAAGGGTGATTACTTTAGAGCCCTGTCACTGTCCCAAGAAAGGGTGTTCCACACAGGCTCCAAATCTGATCTAATTCCTACAGTGTGCCCCTAGCGAGGCCCTCTCAGTGCCCCAGGGATGGGCCATGCTCAACCACATCTGATCTAGGCATCATCTAGGCTTCTGAGCTGAGTTCATCACCCTATGAGAGGCACCAGACACATACAGCTTACCTAGTGAGAAGACAGAGGCCAGCACGAGCAGGAAGAGCAGGACACACATCCCAGTTCTCAGGTGCGTTCAGGTGCCTGAGGGGGCAGGATGGCAGGACGGGTAGACACAGAGACTGCCTGGAGCACTTCACCTGCTATGTTGGCCAACCCGACAGGAAGGCAGAGTTCCCAAAGACTGCTGTGGCAGCCACCAACAGGGAACCAGAAGCCCCTGTTCCCGGCTCAGGGTGTGATTGGAAATGCTCTCAAATTGGTGGCATGCCCCAAAAAGTCTTCTGTGCCCCTTGGCTCCACCCCTTAAGGACATAGCCTCAAGGCGGAGAGGCAGTGCGTGTCCCTCTTTACTTCTCCCCTGCCGCCTCCTATTACTCAAACCAACAGAACCTGGAGTCCAACGAGCCCCATAACTTACTCCAGAGCATCCAGTAAGCACAGTGCATTTATTGAAGATTTGTCTCCTGCCTCCGGCCTTTCCAGCTACAAGCCAGACTGTATCTGACTGAGCTTCCCAAGGTGCTGAGGCTGCCTTGCTTGTTTGTAGACAAAGTTCTCAACTTGGTAGCTCAGTGTGGTCTCACATCCACAGCATCCTCCTTCAGCTTCCTTGAACAAGTCATTCCTCTCTCAAAAAAAAAAAAACAAAAAACAAAAAACAAAAAAACAAAAAACAAAACAAAACAAAAAAAAACTCCTCATTACCCAGGAGATTTTGAAAGACCTCCGTTTCTTAATTTCCATTCTGTCCCCTTTTTCTGTGCTTCATAGACTTACTCTAGGCCTAATCTTGTCTGCTTACTGGCTCCCTAGCTGCCCAGCTCCCCCCCCCACACACACACACCCTGATAAATGATCTTTGCTTACAAAAATCTTACTCAGCCTTCAGGGTGCTGCATAAATCTGTAACTTCCCCTCTGGGGTGAGTCCCCATGGCCACAGCAGAGAAAGCTTTGTGTTTTCCTTCTTCTTGGCATACGTGAGCATCCACCTATTTCTGAAGACCTAGGCCTGGGGACATGCGGTCCACAGCAGTGCAGAGCCCCAGACCTGCAGGGATCTCAGTGATTAAGATAGGGGTGTGTGGTCCTTAGAGTTCAGAGTCCGGCTAGAAAGGAAACTCTCATGTGTCAGGTCACCACACACTCACACCCACAAACATGAGTTAAGTGCCTATTGTATACCATGCACAAGAAGCAAGCCCTGTGCCAAAGAGTGCCACAGAAGGAAGGAACGCCACAGGCAGCAGACACAGGCAGCAGACACAGGAGTCCAAGAAACACCTAGAAAACAGCCTATATGACAGTCTCCATGGCTTTGGATCCTGCAATGCTTTCCTGAATGAGGAGCTGAGCTCAGTGGGATGCTTTGTGAGTCTAACGTTCAGGAAGCCGTAGTGGGAGGATCCTGGGTCTGAGGCTCCTCTGGGCAAGGTAGAAAGACTGTGCCTCAAAAAAGAAAAGGAGGAAGTAGGTAAGATGGACTTGATTTGTGTGTGAGTCAAAAAAAAATACTGTGCAGAGAAACAAAAAGACAACTAAAGAACAGGAGAAAATATTTGAGAATCACTTAATTTGAAGATTAATATCCAGAACATGTAGAGAATTCTGACAACGGCATAGCCTCCTCTGAAATAAAACAACCCAACTAGGAAAATGGGCAAAGAACTTGAGGAGACACTTCTCATTGAAGAAATGCTGGGCAAGAAACCAATGAAAAGACGCCAGTAAGCCATGAGGAAAACACAAGTCAAAACTATAGTGAGGGCTGGGGACATGGCTCAGGGGGTAAGGACCACAGTACCTGCACCAGGTGTAAGCATTTGAATAACCCCAGCAGCCCCAGAAAGCAGCCCTGGCACTGGTTGGAGAAGAGACAGAACTGCTGGGGCTAGCTGGCTGTGCGATATCCTGCCTCGGGGGAATAAAGTGGCAAGTGACAGAAGACACACACATCAGCAAACATGTGAATCTACCATATACACACAGAACAACCAACTGCTATGATGGCTACTAATGAGAAAACAAGAATAAAAACTGTTGGTGTGCCCTGCACACCGTTAGTGAGAATGTAGAACGGTGCAGTGCCGGAGAGCGAGGATTCCCCAGGAAGTCTGTGTGGAACTATGAAACGGGGCAGGATTAAAGGGATGGAAGCAGGGCTCCAAGCCGACACTGCTAAACCACGCTCATAGCAGTGTCCTTCACAGTTGCCAAAGGACAGAAAGAGCTGTCTATCAACAGAGAGATGGATAGAGAGATGTGCCTGTGTATATAGTGGAATATTAATCAGGACAGATGCCGCTCTGACACTTGCTGTATAACATAGTGAACAAACACTGCATTGCTCGAGTTAATGAATGATCTAGAGACAGAACATGGATGAAGTTCCTGGGGGAGGAGAGAATACGGAGTTACTATCTAATGGGTACAGAGACTGTGCTGTGGATGCTGAGAAAGAGCTGGAAATAGATGGTGGTGGCGACTACATAGCAATGTAAGTGTACAGTTAAGACAGGACAGTAAATTTCTTATTATGGATATTTTTTCATAGACACATGTTGCAACTGTGCAATCCTCCTAGCTTCCTGCTGACTCAGCAGAGACAAGCAGTCCTGGGCAGGCTGGAAGTGGGGACAGGAAACTCATGACATCTCCCAACCCCCAGCCCATCTAGCACATGACTTCACTGACTACCTGGAGTGGGAGTCCAGGCCTAGCTAAGGATCTGAGGTGCTCCCAAGATGTCCAGGCAGCATTTAGCCCCATGAAGAAGTCAGAAGAGATAGATGTCTTAGCAGGGAAGGTGGCAAAGAGCCCAAGTACAACAGAGAGAACCCAGCTCCCCAGGGGCTCCAGGCCTCCAGTACCTGCTACAACTGAGTAACATATCTGGCTTCTGGAGACTGGCCCAGGCTAGCCCCTGACTTTAAGAAAAGGTAGCCTGTTGAATATATTTGGCATCAGAGTAGCCCTAGGGTCTAGATCCACACACATGGTGTTCAGGGACAAATCCCCTCCATTTAGAACATCAGCAAGCTATGTCTTTGCTGTTCTCAGCTCTCTGTCTCTGATAATTGAGGCCCTAGAAGTGGCAATGGTGACTCTTGTGGAGGGGTGATGGAATTTCAACATCCTAATACCAGAATGGCATGTTTTGAAAGATCATAAGGCAATGGTGCCTCATTCTGCTCAGCCCCAGTACCCAGAGCTCAGGCTCACTGGAGTCCAGCATGCTGGCTCCGCACCAAATGCCTCAGGGACTGTTTTCTTTTTTTCTTTTTGGTTTGGTTTTTCGAGACAGGGTTTCTCTGTGTAGCCCTGGCTGTCCTGGAACTCACTCTGTAGACCAGGCTAGCTAGCCTCGAACTCTTGAACTCAGAAATCTACCTACCTCTGTCCCCCAAGTGCTGGGATTAAAGGTGTGTGCCACCATAGCCCGGTGGGGACTGTTTTAAAAAAATAAAGAGGGACAACCCCAGGAACAAAGAGCACTGTCCCAGTGTGAAAACCTGATATAAAAAAGGAGGTGCTGTGGGCTTGGATTGGGGTGATTAGCCTAATTAGGCACCCAGCATTCCTTGGGAATAAATTCTGTCCTGGGAGAAAGGGAGGGATAGCATTCTTGGGACACAGAGAGCTTGTGGCCCTGAAAGAATTCCTCATGTGAACAATGATTTTTGGACAGCAATGTCCTCACCAGATGTTCCTGATGTTCATCCTTGAGTCCCCACACAGGGCATGCTGAAGAAAGGGCTTATATGACCACACTGGAGCTGGCATGTCCCACATCAGAGCCATTGGAGTGCCCTGGCATACTTTGGAAGCCTATGTTGCCTGCATGTGAAACCAAGTGTCCCAGGACATCTGGGGAAGACAGGCTGGGGCCCTGACCTCCTGACAGAGGCAAGGTCATTGTGGGTAACTTTCTCCAGTATAGGATTCAGTTTCTTTTTCCTGTACCCCAGGGCTCCCTGCAACTTCCCTATCAGCTGGAGAAAGATACAGATGAGGCCAGCTGAGGGACACCAGAAAGAGGAATAAGTGCAGTGGGCAAGTCTAGGAGTAGGTTATTGTCAAAATAGAAGAGAATCCTAAACATAGGCCCAACATCAGCTGTTCAAGCCACAGATCCATACATAATGTCTACTTGATTGTTCAAGCCACAGATCCATACATAACGTCTACTCAATCGTTCAAGCCACAGATCCATACATAATGTCTACTTGATTGTTCAAGCCACAGATCCATACATAACGTCTACTCAATCGTTCAAGCCACAGATCCATACATAACGTCTACTCAATCGTTCAAGCCACAGATCCATACATAACGTCTACTCAATCGTTCAAGCCACAGATCCATACATAACGTCTACTCGATCGTTCAAGCCACAGATCCATACATAATGTCTACCATCCTTCCCCCTACTCCATAGGAACACATGGATCTAAGAATGCTATGAAGCTCAGTATGACTTCGAACTTCTAATCTTCCTGTCTCTCCCTTCCAAATGCTGGGGTTACAGATGGGGTTACCATCATACCTGTTTTATGTGGTGATGGTGGGGATTAAACCCAGGGCTTCATGCATCCCAGGCAAGGACTCTGCCAATGGAGTATATCCCCAGCCACCATCGCTTTTTTTGATACATTTCCCTGTTCTGTCCTTGAACTTGCTATGAAACCAGGCTAGCCTATAGTCCATGATCTTCCTGCCTCAGCCCACCAAGTAGGTGGGATTACGAACCTATACCACCAGGCCCGGCGGCTAACCATTGACTGAAGTAGTAGAAAGTCCACAGCTCATTCCTCAGCCTAGCTTAGACTTGTTCTGGCTGACAAACCCTTGACAGGTGAAGCAGTGAAGTGAACAAGGCTGAACGGGGTCCGTTAGAGTAAGAAAATTGAGGGATGGGCGTGGTCATGGTGGATGGTTGGCTGGGATCTGGACTGGAATTCAAGGTGGGAATGGATGCAGAAGAGGAAGAGATGGAGACTGGGTAGGAGTGTGGGGATGGGGTGGGGGTTGGGAAGGTGTGTTGGAGATTATGGGAATAAGGCATGCAGTACGTGGTTGGAGCTGCCGTTCCAGAGAGGGGAGCCTGAGACGGGGATGACTGCTGTGGAGTAGGAAGCAGGGTTATGGCTGGGCCAAGGCTTGGGGCTGGAGAGGACCTAGCATGGGGGAAGAGCTTGGATTTCATGTTTAGGGTATGCAAGGGTTCAGAGGGTCCAGGGGTCACACCCACATGCATA